GGCCGAACTACAAAAGGATACTGATATATGACCATGAATACGGGGAGGACTTGTCACGCGATGTGAACAACAGCCGGAAAGACAAAGAAAGCGAGTCAGCAAAGGATACCGAATTGCAGGAAGAAAAAATACAACGAGTTGCTAAAGGGACATGAATGCTTTGAGTGCAAACGTTTTCGTGACGCGGTTGGTGTGCACGGAAAAGAACGACATGAAATTATGCAAAAATGTTCACAAAAAAAGGAGAACCAACGTAGACTGTTGACACCGCCTGGTTTTTGGAACATAGGCTTCTCTGATTCGAAAAAGTAGGATACTTTAGAGAGAGAGAGAGAGAGAGAGAGAGAGAGAGAGAGAGAGAGAGAGAGATGTAACGCATAATATTGTGTCACGTGCTATATTTCATTCGTGCAGCCACTACAAGGTCTCGTTGCAGTGTCGTTATTATTCGAGTTCATCGTGTGCGCAAATGTCGAAAGACAAACTACTGAGCGACGTAACACTCGCAATTAAAGATGTGGTCAGCACTCTTGAAGTGGCTACGAATGGCTTGCATGCAACCAAGGAAGTCCTTCAGAGCACAACTGCTGATTTGCATGCTATGAGACAAGAAATCGACTTGCACGAACGGCGTGTGAATGCTAGGGAAAATGAACTTCTACATTACAGAACACAAGTTGCTCATGCAAATTAGCCATGTGCTGATGGTTCTCATATGAACAAGATAACGTCTGGCACAGGGACTGTGAGGTGCAACATTGAGGGTCGTTGCCTAGCATATGGTCGCTACCCAACTGGGAGCACAACAATGGCTCCCCAGTCTTCGGGAACCTTATGTCAGAGGAATGTTCCATCACCCAGCACATCAAACCGATCAGTGAACTCAAAAAGAAAATTGTCATTTACAAACATTTGATGTGGCATTTGGGATTGGGAAAATGTGCAATATATGCGGGGTTCGTTTCTTCGCAAAGTGATACGTTTCACACACGTAAGTACGTCTAAGAACAAAATAAATCAGAAACTAATAATCAATCAATCAATCAATCAATCAATCAATCAATCAATCAATCAATCAATCAATCTATCCAATCAACCACCCACACAACCACCCAACCACCAAACCAACCAACCCACCTAACCACCTAAGCACCCAACCACCCACATAACCACCCATGCACCAACCCGCCAGCCCACCACCCAACCACCCACCCACCCACCACCCAACCAACCAACTAATCCACAAACGCACTCACCCAAACATAATTCCCAAATGAACGACCCTCCTAACCATCCAACCAACCACCACAGCCACCCAACCATCCACTCCAGCCACCGAACCAACCGCCAACCCCAACCGACCACTCAACCACCCCATGTTTTGGAGCCCGCCCATCCAACCGACCTATCTAACCATCCATCCACCCAACCACCCACCTAACCACACAACCAACCACCCACCCGCCCAACCACCCAATAACCGAACTACCCAACCACCCACCCAACCACCCAACCACCCAACCAACCAACCAACCAACCAACCAACCCATCAAACAACCAAACCGCTCACCTAACCACCCAACCAACCAAGCAACCAGCCACACAACCACCCATCCATCCGCTGAACCACCCAACCAACCACCTAACCCAACCGCCCAACCACCCAACTAACCAACCAACGTACTATTGTTCGTAATTATTATTATTATTTTTTTTGCAGCCGCGAGACTCGACTCATTGTGTCCGTCGCATATCGTACGCATTGTGTTGCCGTCATCTTTCGCAGTGTCGTCGGCCCGCCATTGAGACTGTTCACAATTGCCAGGCTCACTTATTCGACCTTGCGACACAACATGGCCGGCGTAGTTGTTGTTGTGAAAGAGGTTGTGCATGGAAAGGAAATCGTCGTGAGAGAGAAAGTGTGTGAGCGCGATACTGAAAATGAAAGAAACTTTGAATAATGAGAAGGGGTTGTCGCCACGAAAACACGTGTGTACTACGCGTTCATCGATGACACCCTCGCTTTGAGGGTCGTGGCGGGGCTGGGGTACGACCACCATGATTGCCTTTATGAGGTTGTAATGCACGCAAAAAAACTTTCGGATGTCGTTCCCGACGCCTGCGAACCCCTCGACTTCGATATGATTGGTCATTTGCTAAGGTGCATCGTGTCAGTCATTGCGGTCGAGCATGTGGAAAGGTTAGTACGCAACGCATGGTATTTCTCCAAACTCGACCGTCCGCTGCAACGTCGTAGTTTTCTCCACGGAGATGTGCGAAGTGTGTCGCCAAAGGACGGTTGCGGACAACAGTGTCAAAGTGTCAACGAACCATCATCCCGCTCGTCTCATGTGTAGTCCGAAACAGGTGGGTTGACGAACAAAATCGTAAAGGTTTTCAACATTCGACAGTGTTCGGGACCACGACTACCCGCTCCTCCCATATATATGTATAAAGGGCGTTCCCCTTCCCCGTACGGTACATGTAGAACATCATTTTTGCGTTATTCTTTATTCGCTCGTTGGTTTCATAACTTACGGTGTCGCTTTATGTGAATTGCAGCAATTTCCATACGCCATACGAAAGAAGCGACGATGCCTTGCTCGCCAATAATTTTTCAATGTTACCACACCACGAAACTGACAGGCGGCGACACAGTATACTATTACGAATCAATGACTCCCGTAACAGATCATGTCGGCGATGCAGTGGAGTACCGCAATAGAGACAAGATGGTGGATCGTCATTTCGTTGTCAGCGTGAAGGAGGAGCGAGTCGTCAGACTGATTACTGAGACTTATATTCGTGACCACGCCATCGAATACGTTCGTGTGCTAATGTCTAAGCCGACTACGTACTTCAGTACCTTTGTTCTCAAACCGGTCGAAGGTGATTTGATGTATGATATCGTCTACCCCCTAGTGCATTGCATACTATACACACACTACGGGACGGTCGTTCGGGACGGCGTATGGCGCCTGGTCGTCTCACCGCCCTATTTTGTGTCCAATGGCGAGGATTTCTCTGCCATGTTCTATCCTTGCTGTGGAATCCGGCGATGAGTACCATTCGTTTTTCTTGCTATGTTTCATCGTTATTGAAGAGAGACGAATTCATGGTTTCAATGATTGTACATTTTGTGTATAGATATGCAATCGTCATATCCCATGCGTTTTTTTAATGTTTTCGGTATTTTTTTTCAGCTGCTTTGTGTTTTTTTAATTGTTTTTTGTTTTTTGTTATGTCGAGATACAGTACTGAGGTAATCGGTGCCCTTAATGTTCTGTTTTGTAGATTTATGAAAAATCACACATAAGCGACAAAACAATATTCACCCTTTCCCAGACATGGACCGCCGACGACGCAGGGTTTGTGTGCGGGCCGACGCAGTCGTATTTGGAAATGGGACAGATACTGATCCTTTCCACGACGAGGACCTGACAGTCGCCAAGATTAGGAGTCGGTGGCCGGGGCCCATAACGCTTTTGGAGGAGGCTGTGACTTTTGCTGGGCTGGAGGAGCATCTGCAACAGTGCATGAATCTGCTTATCGGTCGTGCAAATCTCAAACCAAAGCAGAATCGTTACAATGGATATGTCATTTTTTCTCGGCTGTACGTGTTCGTCGTATACCGACAGAGATTGCCAAATGGGTTCCAGACGGCAATGCGGGAACGATGGTCAGATACAATCATTCGAGGTTTTGAACTACGGCAATGTGATCCTCTTGAAAATGCGCGCCCACGTCGACGTGCACTCCGATAAATGCTTCACGACAAGATATATATATATATATATATATATATATATATATATATATATATATATATATATATATATATATATATATATA